ATTCAAAAACGGCTCTGTTAAGTTTTCGTTGTTACACACTGTATAATTATACACTCTTGCTGACTGGTTTTTTGTTATGCGATGACATTTTTTCAGAAACAACACAAATATTATTCAGACAATGCCAAACGCCAACAGCATTGGAGGGCAAGTAACGATACGCCTCTGTGAAGAGCATTTGTATGACTTGCAAGAGCTGTAGTGGGGGGTTATATTGAAAATGAATTTGTGTGCATGGGGGCGGGCTCGCCATCACGTTTGGCGCTTGCTGTAGATGAGGTTAACGTTTCGGTTATCAGCTATTAAGAAAACATCATAACTCACCCGTCCTATATCCGGCATTCGAGAGATACGTCGCAAACGATCTGGTTTCGTGGGTGGCTTGCCATTGCGCACTTGAGCAATTGTCGTTGTTGGTAAAAACCTGATGATTGTGCATGTACATCCCTGTCAGCAGCGATGACCTCGAAGGACAGCACATGGGAGTGGTCACGTAGGCGTGCCTAAATTCTGCACCTTGGTCCCGGATGCTAGTCAAGGTTTTCGGCATGAAATTCAAAGAACCGAGCTCGACGTCTTGGTCGTCAGTCAGAATTAAAATTATGTTGGGCTTCGGATTGGCCCTGGAAGAGGTTAAAGGAGAAAACACTTGAGTTTTTCGTTGTCTACGTTGCAGGGAAGCATCACAGTCTAGGTTGACTAAGCAGAACGATAGCAATGCGATAATTGCTGAAAAGCTGGCCATTATACTGGCTCCGCTCGTAAATGTATCTTAAATATCGATATATCGATGGACACCCAAGTAAGGAAAACTCGTTTTCCTTTATTATTCTTCTTAACTCTACGTCATCTTTGGCGTTTTCATCGGAAATCTATTGTGCTGAGTTGATGTGTGTAGCTACAGCAATAAAGACGGGGTCTTTATCTCCATCTTGTCGAAACGCATCTTCTGTACATGACCTGCAATGAAAATGTATGTCGGTTAGTTGGAATAAACAATCGTTACTTTATGAGACGGCGATATGTTCGGTGAACGACCCGCTATAAAAATGCACGCTAATCTTTTAGAACGTAATAAAAGCGCCAATCATCATATAGAACAATTTCCATATAATGGGTCCGTGTAAGTTCAGTTTGGAAAACTCAAAGTCCGAAATGCATTTCGAAAATCTTACCGATTTCGAAATTAATATATTAGAATGAATATTTTGTTGTAACAGTGTCATGTATATACAGTGTGTGTCACTTTGAGCTTCCTTCAGAAGTTCGAGATGGAGAGAAGTTGTTAACAAAATTAAATGAAAGGGGCGAATTTTTGAAAAGAGATTCCTTTTTTTGAAGAAAAGAGCTCTTTGCCTTTTACTTTTTCATCGTTTGAGTCATAACCGTACCAGATTTCAATGAAAATTCATTCAAAAAATCTGTTTTATGAAAATGTTTTAAAAATAGAGTTTTTTCATTATCGGGTAACAATTTGAATAAAATCTTTTCTCCAATGTTGGTTGAATAAAAATTCGAAAACAATTTATTAGTCTTCTGTCATTATAAAAGTCCCTTCTTTCAGGTTTGATAAATTCAATATCCACTCTGGGACGCGCATGGGGTTTTTCACCCCGTGTGGTCGCCTGGATCTACGCTGCAATAATAAGACCTATGTTAACGAANATAAGAGAGTGTGTGTTCGGCGAGTCTTGGCCTACACCTGCCGATATAAAGGAGATGTCTCTCAGCGACCTGTCCACCTTCCTGGAAAAGACAGGATGGACGACGACCTAGGAGGACAACTCCTCGGGAGGATGTACAATGTGGCCTAAGTGCGTGGGCTTACATTCACCCTCCTTACTCTACAGATACAGATCCACTCTGGAATTCATTTTCAGATGGATGGAATCCTATCTGGATGCCGGAGAGACGTATACTTACCTCGGGGTGGAACAACGCCACTCACAAGAGGCAACGGCAGTGAAGAACTTTCTCCGCGGCAAGTATCAGAACAAACTTCGACAGATCTGTTCATTGGAACAGTCGGGGAAGAAAAAAAAATGCTGCAACTAATATGCTTGCCGTTCCAATATTTCTCTACTCGTTTGGAGTAGTGAAGTTGACTCGGAAGGAGCTGTATCAACTCGACGTAAAGACCCGAAAAATAATGAATCTCTATAGTAGTTTGCATCCCAAATCGTTCGTTCCACGGTTTTACTTCCCCCGACAACAGGGAGGCCGTGGACTTTTCAGTTTGGAGTGCCTACATGACAGAATGGTACTAGATGTAGCCTGTAAATTCGTTAGGAGTTCGGTTCCCCTTCTCTGCATGGTCCGTGACCATGAGAGAGCAGGAATTGCAACATTTCTCTTCAGGGCAGCTGACCTAAACGAGGTGACCCGTTCATCAAAAAGCCCATATAAAAACCGCAGAGATCACCTCACTTCTGCGGAAAAACAATGATAAGTCAATGCATGGGGTCTTCTTCAATAACATTGGAGACCTTGGCTTATCAAAGCGCCTGCCTTTTCTTTCCTCAGGTCGAGTGGGCTGAAGTCGGAAACTGAGGGGTTCATCATGGCTTGCCAGGATGGTGTCTTCAACACCTTTTAGTCTACCACAGTCATGGTCCCAAGTAACATGCATTTCTCTGTCCATTCGTTTTCTCACAACGAGGGGCGATCACAGAATTATCCCTATTTCTTTTTTGAATATTATTTAGAATATTCATACAGAATAATTGTTTAATTTCAGGGCCCTGAGTGTCTCTAAAAACACTGTCACTTGAGTATGTTCGGCCTTTGTGAAGTATTATTTTCAAAATTCACCTTTGAATTGTATCAAGATTCACCAAATTAAAAAGATTGCGGTCAACTTATTATTTGATAATGACAAAACCACATTTTGAAATCATCTTTACAACAAAACACTATTTTATTAGTGAGTTTTCATTTAAAATTAGGGACGATCGACGATATTTTTTGCATAACTTCTGAACCGCTCAATGTATCACTATACAATCCCAAATTTTTCGAAATTACTCTTCTGGCGGAATTCAAAACTCTGTTTTTTTTGCCAGTTTCTATTCACATTAGGTTGTTGTTTTACCCATGTTTTCAAAATTTTCTTGATAAATTGAGGAAAATTTATCTTATTAAAATCAATGCATAATTCTCCTGAAAGAAGAAGTTTTCTTTTCCCACTGAGACATTTTTTTTTCAGATAAATATCGCTGGAAGCCGATTCTCACTGACGAGACATACCATCCGTCTCGAAGGACCACAACGTACGAACCCTGAGAAAGCGCTGAATGACTTTATGATTATCATTTTACCGATCAAATACGTTGAAGAAACGCTGTTCCAAGTTGATTTACTTGATTTTATTTGATATACTGATCACCTGATTTACGAACGAAGTTATAACGGAGATTCATTATCCAACGTTTCTGATATATTGTCCACGGATAATATGCATAATTCTATACCTCGAGTCATTAGATAAACGCACGAGAATATAAATATCAAAAGAGAGAACACAAAGTATGAGCAGGTTTTCGAAGAATATCTCACAAACGCTTTCAACGTGTAGAGTTCACGCCGGACTGAAATTATCCTATAATCTATCTTTAGGAAGGTAATTAGATTGTTTATATTTAGAAAGAAGGTTTTTATAAATGTATCTTTAGAGATAACATTGACATTGTTTATTCTTTGTATATACGGAAGAGTGAAAATGGAACGGAAGAGTTGAAAAAATTAATTGTACATCCAAGTGAGGTGCTACAATGAAGCATTTTATGTCCATTTCTATTTATAGAAATAAATAAAGAACGGTGTCTAGCCAACTACTGGAAATTGTGCGAGTAGATTCCTTTCGCTTAGATAATAACAAAGTTATAACTGATTATTTTGTCTTCTAAGAATGTCTCATAATTTTACAGAGACTCCCTCTCATGGTATTAAATTTTCAACAGAGTACAGTTTGGGATGTTTCATCGCAGGAAACATAAGAAATACGTGCAGGTTCTCTACCGACTAGGGAGGACTATAAAGTTTGTTATAAAATCCTGAATTGCAGACGTTTTCTCGGTCAATGCCGTATACCAGGTGAATGTCTTGACGATTTACGGATACAACAAAGAAGTGAAATGAGTAAGAGCCGTGTTGTGCCGAGCTGGCTCACTAAATGTATAAAACAGAAATTGGAGTTCTTTGTTTATGTAGCTCCGTTATGGTCTACCGAGTGACAAGTTTTTGCTAGGGTGGAATTCGTGAAAAAGACATTACTTGGCACAAAGCAAGTAGCCTGATTCTAGATTTAATTTCATTGCAAAAATGTATCGACCATACCAAACGAATATTAGAAGAAACGAAATGACAGAAAAGTCAAGTTGAAAGTTGGACGAATACTTTTTGTTTGCAAATCGATATGAAACCATATACAGTCTGAATTTGATCCAATTTACTTTTCATTCATATACTATGGATTGGGATTTTTTCAAATCGACTACTAGTTTATAATTGACAGATATTTGTGAGGATTTCCGAACTGAAGTCATATTAGAAAATGATTCATCGTCCATAAGTGAGATTTTCTTGAACTAAAACGAATTGTCACCTACAGGTCGGTTTTGGAGTATTGGTTCCTCATCAGTATATGGTAGATGATACAAAAACATCAGTTCAGCCGTCTGATGTACCGCTACATCTGTCAAATTTTCGCAAATAACAAAAAAGAAAACCAAATACAGCACCAAATCAGGGAGACATTTTGGACAATTCATTATCGACATAGTACCTTAACAACTAAATATCTACGCTCCTCTCAAATTTCCTTGACTTCGCAACGCGCGCACAAAACTTTTTACTAGTGTTTCTCCATGTAGTTGGTTCGTCCAAACATGTTCCACTTTTCATGATTATCGGCTTACTCTTCGCTGATTGTTTTTTTTTTTCTCGTTAATACAAATTTTCGACGACCTTTTGGTTTCATCGATATGGGACTTGCCACCTTCACATGGTAAATGCCGAAAACTTCATGATGATTATAAATTTTTTCACTTTCTGCTCTTCCTCCATGGTGTTTTTTGTAATTTCTCGCTGTACGGATCCATTTCTATCAATTTTTACATTTCTTTTCTATGAGCAATTGGTTACTGAAGCCAAACATTTGCAGGGTTTTGAAGAGTTGTTTTCCTTCAGTAACATCAGCACACATTATCGAAGACACATCAATAAACGACTCTGTTTCTAGATTGTGGCAAGGAAAGCTGTTATTTATATTATCATCTGATTTTAAACCTTCTCAATAAAATATTACACACATAGAATGGAGTCGTCATGGTAAGTTCTCATAGTCTTGAGGTTGTGAATTTCTACATGGAAGACTTCGAGAAGAAAGCGCTCATCACCACTTCATTGAAACCCGTTGGTTGTGCTACGTTGATGACCCTTATTACTATTTACTTATTACTTTCATTTACCCATTCTGCTTGAGAAAAACTAGTCCATTTCAATTGTGTATAAGTAATAGGATGAATCAGTTTGTGAGGGATTACGATAATACTCCCGTCTCTAATTATGTGATAGATTCTGTTGAAAATTTTAAAGAAACCTTCCATCTATCAGATGAATGTAATAATTTTAGTCAATCTAATAATATTTACCATGCTATCACCAGGATGAACTTAGATTTAGAAAATACACTTCTATTTTCCAAAAATCATGGCCTTCGAATAAATCCAAATAAAACGGTAGCCC